AATGGTTTGAGAGGAGACTAGACTTCTGCACCTACTCTTGGCTCCACTTTCACGCTTTAGAAAATGTAGTTTTGACGAAAGATTTTAGCCAATCCCAGGTCTTTTCACACAGAGTTGTTGGAATAATATAAAGACCAAAAACATCCGAGGCAGGAGATGGACGTGGTTGTCAATGAGTTAAACAGCCTACTTTCACTGTGAAGCCACAGGTAAATGCTGACAACTTGATAAACTATTTTGTGTGTTTAAATGCCACATTTGTCTTGTGAGATGGAGTTAGTACAGAAGGGAGGATCTACAGAAAAATGGCCGTATTTTTTATTTTATTTTATTGTTTTTTTTAGTGTGTTTTTTTTTTTGTTTGTTTTCAGATTTTCTGTTGCTTAATGTACCCAGGTAAAATGTAGGTGTGCTTGAATTTTTTAAAAGTGAAATAATTACATTAATATTCTTGTACATATTGATAGTCTTAGAATCTTGAATTGGATTAAAATCTACTTTAAGTTTAAAGGTCAATACAGTATTCGTACCGACAGATTCAGCACAACTAAATGTCTTAGCGTTAGTACACTCGAATGCACCTAGTATAAGTAAAATGTTTTCACTCAGGTGAACCAAAGTTCTAAAGGTTCTTTACACCCACAGGGTAGATTTTAATAACTGACATATTACGCTCTTCTCATTCGTATTTTTGAATGGTGTAACATCTAGACCAGGGGTCGGCAACCTTAAACACTCAAAGAGCCATTTGGACCCGTTTCCCACGGAAAAGAAAACACCAGGAGCCAGAAAACCCTTTAGACATCTAAAATGAAGACAACACTGCATATATCATTTTTACCTTTATGCTATGTATAAAAAAATCTATAGTGTGTTGCATTTATGAAATCAATGAACTGCTACAGAGAAAACAAAATTTATTCCTACAAACAAAAACATTTTGAACTCTGAAAAAAAAGATGCTAGGTTGAAGTTTACTTTCAAATAAAATACTCAATGTCTATTTGAGTGCTCCTTGTACGTATATATGAAATAAAAAGTCGAACCTAAATCATCCACCTGCAACAAAGCAAAAATGACGTCTGGTTGGTCTACTGACTGCAGCTGGAACTGCTGACCAGACTGGTGACTGCCTGTGAGCGCTTTGGGATGAGGAGGAGCTCACGGCAACGGCGCTACGCTGAGGACAGTTACGGCACAACGATACGTGTTGTCAGAGTTCCTAAAACAACAGAAAAGTCTCAAATAACACAAGAAAGAATTGCTAGATTTGTCGCTAGTCACTTTTGACCAAAAAAAAAAAGTCACCAAGAGAGTCACCAAGTTGGCAACACTGTGCGTGCCGGTGGGTGTCGCACATTGGCGGTAGTGACGCATATATTGAGCAACAAAAAATTAAACGCGTTTTATTTTGATGTTATAAAATCACCGTAATCTTCAAATTTAGAATTACATTTCAAAAACTAACAAAGTAAAATAGAATACATTTAAATTAAATGCTCTTTTTTTCCCCAAAGCCACAAGGAGCCACAGCAGAGGTATGAAAGAGCTGCAGGTTGCTGACTCCTGATCTATACGTATCTGTATGTATACATGTGTATAGCTGCACTCTGGTCTAGACTAAGGCCATGTTTGCATCACACAGGATTTGCAGTAACTACCAGTTCCACTCGTTCATGTTAACACATATATTACAACTACAATAAAAAAAAAAAAAAGTAGTTATGGCTTTTTCTGTTTTGTTAGCATCGATAAAGATAGCTGGAATGCCCAGTAATGATGGAGAAGATGCACAAGAACACTGGCAGCTGCCATGCTGACCCATCAGATGACGTGAGCGCCAGCATTTCATCATCCTGCTCCCCCGATGACGTGTATGTGTCACGAGCACAGGTCTATGGTGCCTTAGCAAACCTAATAATCAGTCTGAGAATGACAGCAGTGTTTCATGAAAATAATATGAGAAAACTGGATCACAAGCAGACTGTAAAACTCACCATATGGGAGGAACAAAGAATATGAAGTGAGTGTGTGACTCAGTACTCTAGTTTTTTATTCTTCAGTTATTTATTCACTGTAATCCATTGACTGTGATAATTCCGCTAACACTGTTGCTCTGGTAGATTTAATTAAAAATAGAGTCTCATTCTTGTATTTGCTTCTTCATATCTGGATAAATGCCATTTTACTGTGGGTTGCACTCATTTTCACTGAATTTCTTAGGATTTAGTCACTGAAATTCTTCCTCAGACACTATGGTTTCACAAAAAAGCAGATTTCATCTCCTAATCTAACTGAAGTGACTCAGCATATCACGAGAGGTTTAAACTATTTATTAGGCAGTGTTGTTGGATGTTTAGGTTGTGTAGCGTTTCACCTGAGGGGAGAGAAGTTACTCCCCAGAGGAAGAGCTGGGCCTCTGTATGCCTGCACACAACTCCAATTACAACAATCATAATTAGAGTTAGTGATTATATTTTAATGAGAAAGTGTAGCACTCAAGTCTGCAGAAGCTAATAATGTGGGCAGCGCAACCACTGATGACTGCTTTTCTCTCTGCACCACCGTGAACTCTTCACCTCGAAGGATACGACCTGTCTAGATTCCCTCATAAATGTCACAGTAAATGTTCACATAAACACTGTAGCATGTACAGGCTTCTATAGAGTAGACAAGTCAGCAAATTATACAAGTTTGCTTAATTACAGAAAGGAGTTGTTTTTACACGCACACACAAAACAGCACATCTCAGCTTTATCTGAAACTTCCTAAGTTGTGTCTGCACCGCATTCTGCTGTACTGAAAATATGCATGAAGTCTCTGTTGTTTGTCTTTTTAAAAAGTTATTCATTGTGTTTTTTTGTGAGTATAATATCGTACAGTATATGTAAACCTCTACAAACACACACACACACACACACACACACACACCCACACACATATATGTAGAGACTAAAATAACAGAAATGGAGGTTGGGGCGTTATTAAAATAAAACAAAATGTAATAGCACTTATTTATACATGACATAAACTTGAGGAGAATAAAATGTGCATAACCATACATTCCCAACGTCCATTCTTGACCACTGTTACATTGTTTGTAGTTGTTGATTATTTTGATATTCCATAGTGTTTGTCCAGAGCATATTCAGTATAGATTTTATATGTTGAAGAAGTCCACTCTGAAATCTATCCACCATTACAGGATTCATATTACGTTACAGGTTTTATAACAACTATGTAGCAACTATTAACATAAAAAAGCGTGAATGCTCTTTTTGTAATGTGGTTCACTAAATCTACATCAGATTAATTTATTGTTTTCTGATTAATATTTCCTTTCTCATTCCATTTTCTATAAAACGGTATCCAGATCTGGATTTGTCATCTACGTTGTGCTAAACATAGCTCCGTGGGTGGAACATATTCACAAGGTTATGCTATTTCTATATGAAAAGAAACAGGTAAAATGAAGCGTATGGTTACAGGTGATGTGTGGATTACACACAACCAATTCATCTATAATATTAGTAAATATTTTCCTTACAGCTCGTTTGATTGTGAACCTTGATTGAACTCGATTGAACCTGAGCAGCCGTCTGTAAATGCTGGATACTCTGACCGCTGTTCTCGCTCTCCACCAGCTGCTGCTCATTTATTATTGGCTTCAATGAATAAGGTAGCAGCCAGTCTTAAGGTGTGGCCACGTTACATTTTCTGTATGTCAATTTCTACTTCTTCATCCATTTACATCCACTGAAGCTGGAATGACAGACATTTACTGTGCGGCTGCAGTCCTCCATCAGCTCCAACTGACACACAGGTCAGCTTGATCAGTGGAGCCACAATTCATTTTTCAGTCTCTCCAGCACTCGCTTCCCAATCAGCCCTCAGTGTGCATACCGCATACTTGCTCTCTTTCACTACTTACATGTCAGATCATCACATCGTTTTTTTCCCTGATCTCGTTGCGTTCCTGCCCTCCATTAACACATTGGCTCCTGTTTTCTGCTTGCCGGCCTGTAAGCCTGTACTCTCTGTTTAGGAGAGCGCTGAGCTGTCCCTGCCAGCCTGGTGTGTGTCGGCACTCAGGTCCAGCTTCCTATCTTCATCTTGCACACTGTGACAGATGGATGTGCTCGCTTGGCCAACGGAAACAGTTAGGCTCTGTATTTGGAAACGGACAAAGTATTGCTTCTACGTGCTGCATCACTATGTTTCATACTTTATCATACCATCAGACCAGGAACTGCACTGTGGCTCTCACCACTTTTTACAGTTTGATCACTCTCAGCAGTTTCTGGGTAAATTTGGTTGAACAGAGACCAATCTGTTGTCAGAAAAGATTAGTCCACTCTCTGTCTTTGCAAACATTTAAGCTATTCAGAGCATTTCTTTCTTCAGACACGGTACAGATACGATCCTGCTGACAGGATTTTTATCAGACAAGAATCATGAGTTTCTTTGGCTTTAGTTTGACTAACTTATGAGAGTAATGCTTATTAGCTACAACAGCATTCCTTTCAGCAACGCAGAACTTGATGGCTACAAACTAAAAGTCATACATATTGTATTTTACAATATCGAACCGATCTCTAATCAGATCTGCAGCTCTAAGAACTGTGTTCCAACAAATTGGTCAAATGGGGATTTTCTCTATAAAACAATGAATCCTTTCTTCTGACACCTCCAATAAGCTGATCAGGTTTTGAGTCATGTGTTCTGTTCAAAAGGTGAATGAAGGAAGTTTAACAGAAGGACAATAAAATGCGGATAGAAGAAAAAAGACAGGATGGCACTAATCACGGTACTCACCATGTCAAACGTGTCTTGGAGAGTGACGAAGAAAAATATTGTGGTTTACAATCTGATACATTTGGACTAGTCTGAGAAGTTTCCTATATAAGTGACCTGACATCACATTGTCAGTTTTTAGCACACACACACTCACACACACACACACACACGCACACAGACCACTGTCTGTCATCAGTGTTTACCTTTGAAGGCATTGGTGGCTGGTAAATCAGTTTCCTGCATACTGCTCCTTCCCACGCACTGCTAGCTGCTGCCGATGCTGCGATGGATGCCAATAGACCAACCTTAACCAGTCCGAGCCACGGCCGCTGGGGGGAGGGAGGGTGGCCGAGAGGAAGGGGCGGCGCCTGCCAGTCTCACTGCCATCTTTCTTCATCAACAGCCCATGTGCTTGAATAAAAGGCCGCTGCCTGTCAAACCTCACGGCGGGCGCTTGTCTTTCCTCTGCTCAGCGACAGCTCGTATGGTCACCTTAGTTCTCTGACTACGCTGCTGCCTGCTTCACTAGCTTGTATGAGGATTTCGCTGTCTTCTGAAAGTAGACTGAGGAAATATAGTGATGGCTAAGTGGAAGAGGAGCACAAATGAAAGAGATGGACGGATTGTTTTTGGGTTTGAGCTACTTTTGGGGTCAAGTTAGAAAAGGATGGAGGTTGGAGTGTGGGTGTGGTTGATCTGAACTCTATCCTCCCAGCAGCAGGCCTACAGCCATGGCCAGCAACATGAATTCTTGGCTGTGTCTCAACCTTTCAGTCTATCTGGCGGTGGATGAGCCTCTGCACTGCTTATGAACTAAAGAATCTGAATCTATCCGTCTCTCCTCCAGAGTCAGGTTTATCTTTTAAACTCAGCCCTCACCAGCATGCTGTCTCCTCTGATTATCCTTGCCCTTTTGCTGGCTTATTCTCCCAATATTTTCTCTTCCCCTCTTTTTCCTCCTGTGTCTTTTGTCCCGTTGCTGCAGTCCCAAGCTCAGCACGAGCTACTCAGGCGCTCTCACGCTGGCACCCCAGCTAGAGAAAAAATAGAGAGAAAACACAGACAGAGGGAGGAGATCAGTGAATAAAATCATAAGAGACCAAAAACAACAGGCGTAATAGATACACCCAAGCAAAACACAGGCAGGGTTAACTGCTGGCCGGCACTGACCAACTGAGAAAAGTGCACAAAGACAATACTCATCCACGTCCACCCACGCACACACCCACACTCAGCACATACACATAAGCACAGCAGTGGACGAGCTGCAATGTGTGTCTCAGTCTGGATAGCGGGTGGGTGGCTGGCTGGCATGGCCCCCTTTAGTTCCTCTCACCCACAAGGTTCTTACATGAAAGGGAAAAGTTTTTCTGAAAGCCAAGCGCCGCCTGTGACCCTATTTCACAGAGCAAGGGAGAGATAGAGCCACATGTCAGTGTGCCACTTTGAAGTCTGCCTGATAAACAGGGCTGGAGGAGGCTACGGCTGAGGGAACAACAAAACTTTATTTACATTTCAAAAGTGCCAAGTGCTGCTTTTTTGTGTCTGGGAAAGGAATAAAATCCAAAAAAACAGGAGCGGGAAAGAGCAGGAGGAGGAGGCGGAGGAGGGTGGCGATGGGAAGGACTGAAGGAAAACTGGTTTTGGCAAAAAAAGAGTTAAACAAAACTACTCTTTTTCTTGTTGTTGAGATATGAAAATGAGGGTGCAGGAAAGCTCACTGAGGGATGGAAAATGATGGGGGGACACAGGAGGAAAGCCTATGTTTAAAACATAACAGCGGCAGATAACCCATAGGAAGAGGAGCAACTAGGAAAAGCAACAAAAAAGATTACAAAAAAATCAAAGAAAAAAAGAGGAGAGGGGGCGGAGACATAAAAGAGACCGAAATCAAACATAAGATAAAGAAATGCAGGTTTAAAAAAGTTTGAGACAAGAAATGACACGGGACAAGGGAAGGAGCGAAGGAAAAAAAAAAAAAAAAAAAGCAGACAGACAGTAAACAAACACACGCCCTGTCTGAGGTTTTGGAAAAGCTTGACAGATCTCAGTTAGTCTTATCTCAGCTCCTGCCTGTTCTTATCAAGCCTTATCACAGCTAGGATACACACAGCAGCGTGTAACCTGACGAATGGAAAAATAAAGGCGAGAACTAAGAACCAGCTCGTGACTAAGACATTTCAGTGTCCAGAGTCCACAGTTTATCCCTGTTCAGGCTGCGTCACAGGCCGCAAGATGACACAGCAGTTCTGGTTGTATCAGAGCCACTTATGGCGAAAGAACTACAACATTAACAACGTCTGTTTAACAAGCGGATTTTATTTTACAATGTACAGGTGCTTATATATATATTTACAAGGCTCCCCATGTATATTGATGTACACTAACTAGGCAGGTTTATATGTACAGTGTACAGACGCAAAGATCATACGTCTAAACAGTGTTGTCTTGAAGCAGTCCTTCATAATTCCCATTGTGAACCGCTGCTGGCACCAGTACCGCCGTTCAGAAACCTCTGGCAAACCAATGTGATCCTTTTGAAGGCAGGTATTTCAACCAAAACTAATTTAGCTACATGACGTGAATCCCATCCAAACTAGCCATCCCCGACTGGAGAGAAAATGACCAAAGGAAATGATTGTTTTATAAAATTTAACAGAAAAAAAGTCTCAGAATTGCTTGACTTTATTTCAAATGTAATGGCACCACATTTCCTCATTTATTTTTATCAAACCCATTGCTCTAAACAGATAGTAACTAATATTTTTTTTTTATTTTTGTTTGTTGTTGTTTTTTTGTATGGAGTGAATGTATTAAATCACAATGTACCATGAAAAAAGACTGTCCTATTCTATTGGGATGGTGACATTAACACAGCATATGGTCTATTCAGGAGTCCAAGAGCAAGGACCACTTGATTATACAGTACATGTTATATAATACATCATATAGAGCTACTGCACTATACAAACTCTCCGTGGCTTATCAGGTCAACGGTGGAAACTTTTCTTTACAAAAGTTTTTTTTCCAGCCTGACACAAGCTCTTTCTGCTGATACCTGTGAAAGGCAGTGCAGTCTGACCTTGCCGACTGTCTATTTGGGGACAGAAACTATTACTACAACTACAACCACGATTGCTGTCTGTCTGTTGGGTCATCTGAGGACAGCGCGTTGTCATGGCAGGCTGTGGAAAACATGGCTCTAGGTGGATGTTTGTTCGCTGGTCATTTAAGTACAGCTCCTGGTCTCCTGTCTTATCTCCACATCTATCCAGCTGTAAGACTTCCAAGTGTGAGCAATGCAGAGAGCACAAAGGTCTGGAAACGCCACAGCACAAGATTTGACTGTCCTTTCTGTGTTTGTCAAGTAATTGTTTGTTGCTGAAAAAGAAATGGAAACAGCAGAGACACACATAAAAATGCCCTATCTGCTGCTTGTGGTGTGTATCATAGTGTCAGCTCTAATGCAAAGGTGTCTCTGGTCACTGTGCTTTACTGAGTGCAGCTGCAGAGGCGATTACTGTCTCAAAGCCTGTAAACTGAACCATATATAACAGATACAGTCCAGCTGGTTTAGGGACTGATAAGGGCGACTCAAGTATAACTGAGAAATTATTGGTTTAGTTTCACTTTTACTTAAAGCTGCAGTACAGTTTCTACTGGAGTTCGCAAGCAACAAACTTTACTCCCTCGCTCACTTCACTTTCTTGATAAGTTTACAATAGACTTAGCTTTGTTCAAAAGATGGCACACAAACAAATGTAGCAACAGCACATTATCAATACAAAGTAGGATATATGATCAGATAGTGGTGTTAGCCACTGAGCTACAGTGTTCTTCGCTGGCGTCCACGTCTTTCTGACAGATATAACTATGGCAGTTTATTGACCAAATGAGAAACAGAATGTGGCCGATAATAAGGCTTTGGATTCTATAAAATCTTTCTTTGGGAAGGGAAGGTGTGTTTAGTTTGAGTATGCCCGAACAAATGATGTAGCTGCTGAGTCAAAGTTAATGTCAGATGTTGAGGAACCACAGTACCAGCTGAGTTGTTATTACTGTAAGTTGACGTACAATTTAAGATGCCTCGCAAAGGAAATGTGTGAAAATACTGTCAAGTCTCAAATGTTGGTGTTGAATCAGTATTGTTCAATGTGATTCATATTACATTTTGCACGACAAAATCTGCTGATATTACTGTATGTTTAGGCAGTCACAGCACTTTAGGTGAGGGAAATGTCACAATCTTGATTTGACACAGAAAATATCTGCAATGGTTTTGAGTGAAAGACTGAACCTATTCATAATTAGATTTACTGAAACCATCATCTTTCCCTAACCTTGACTAAAGCACTTGAGTTGGTGTGTCCACACAAGCCACATTTTTTGGTGTCCATCCCATCCATCCCTGCCTCTGACAGAACAGATATTTCAGTTTCAATCAATCCAGCTGTCTACACAAGTTGTAACAGTCCATTTTTACTCACACCATGTTCCCATAAATGCCGTCAAAGGTATATGTTTTAGCTTTACAACCTTAAAGATCTTTCTGAATTTGAAAAAAAATGCAATGTGGGGATTAATTTAGACATCTGAAACTATACTAAGACACCAGTTGCACCACACAGACTATCTGCTCCAGCAACACTTTCTTAATAAATGTTGGACTCTACCATAAAACAAACCCAAAAGCCAAGCAATATCACGTTTCATATTTGGGACGCTGCTTTTGGCAGGTGATTGAAACAAGTTATCTGTGGCTTTAAATTGGCTGTCCCTGTTGTTGTTAGTAGGACTGAAATCACATATAAATGAACAGGATTATGTCTTAAAAACCACTAAAACACAATTCAGAAGTCAAGCGTAGGCAGGAGTACATATGGTCAATAACAATTAGATTATTTTTTGGCAATTTCTGAGTAAAGAATATTGTGATTTGGTTCTGTCTAAAGGTCTGCATATATAGTAAGGTTTGAAAAGTACTGCTATAGATTAGAAAGCAGCTGTTTGTGTCCACTGTCGTTGTTGCTCTAAGCCATATTATGAAGTAATAATACTAGGACTTCACTGTGGCCTTGAGAGTAGTGTTTAATGGAAGCGGTTCTTAGGAATCCACCTCCAACCTATTTCCCATTTTTTGGAAAATAAAGGAAAACAAGAGGAGAAATAGTTGTGCTCTAAGTGTACACTAATAAGGATGAGATACTGTATGAAATGCTGATAGAGATGGCAGCGATGATGGGTTCACATTGAACAGCATGGTGAAATGTGCTTTTCTTAAGATGATGCAAAATATCAAACGCAACTTTCGTCCTTGCAGCTTTCATAAAGTTCAACCTGCATGCAAAGTTTCTGGTATGTTGACTCAAATATCTTTTAACACATATGCCGTGCTTTTACCTTAACAATTATTAATACTACCAAATAAAACACCAAACAAGGGATAACACATTACCAGACTTTTGGTAGTTGGTTTAAATACAACGCAAATGAATTCATTACAACATCAGCGCTTTCATGTAATAGAAAAAGACATTGTTGATAAATAAAGTTACTATCCAGTTGTTGAGTTATCTGCCAAAAAACATGTCTGTGTATTAAAGTTACGCATGTTGTTTTCAAGACATCAGCGTAGGTTGCCATGGTGATATATCTTGGTAAGAAGTGAATCGTCATCAGAGTTAAACCTGAAGTTAGCTTGATAACCTGAAATCCTGCTTCATAGTATAGGCCTCGGGTTCTGAACCCTCAAATGTAAGCAGATTTCTGTTAGTGACATTTAGTTTTACTTGACAGTAGCTGAAATAATAGCTTAAAACAAGTACACTTGCCACTATTCCTATGACAGAGTGGATTTTTGGGACAAGTATTAATCTTGACTTGAGAAGCGTACTTAAGCAAAGAAACACATGAACCTTTAGGGAAGCTTTAGCAGCTCTAACAGCCCTGGAGTTGCATGTAACCTCGAACCTTCCTGGAATGGGCAGAGTTCCCATCATAGCATTATTAGTGTTGGAGCATGTTTTTGTGTATC